GTTTACCCGAGGTCTCGGGTCACACGAAGCGGGACCTCGGTTAGGCGGGCCAGCTCGGTTCTCATATAAACGCAACATGAAATTTAGTAGGAAATATTAACAAAGACGGGATCCCGCCTAAAGCGAGCTAGCTCGGGTACCCGAGCTGGTTCGCCTCATATAAACAGCCCCTTAAAAACCATCATTCAAAAGGCTGAACTGTGCCTTTAAATGTATCTCAACGACATTGCAGATCATAGAGTACAGTAGTTTTGAAGCAAATTCAAACAACATAACACCATATCGAGTGAACAACCCGCTTGCATGGGGCTCACTTCAGTTTCTCCCGTTTAGTCAATCTCAACGATATATTTATAGTTCTAGTAGTCACTTCTAGATAGATCTATAATAATTGGCTAACGTCTGTCACCCAATTGATTTTAAGCAACAGTACCTGTGTTTGTTTGTGCCATTCCACGCTAACATTATCTCATACAGGAGGGGTGACAAGACATACAAATAATCCGACAACATGATTTTTTTGCAACTACTAGGATACGTAAATTTATGCTCGCGCATATGCTTTATAAAATACAGTAATGCAATGTTTAATTTCTTGAGATAATCACTGCCTCGTTTTAGCTATATGTACAGGCGGGCTTCCGTTATGCATGGGATCTAAATTGGTATTACACTATATTTTCCCGTACTTTCACAAATGTATAATATTAATAAAGGTAACTATACAGCTGGATTTTAGTTTTCAAGATCTCCACATGAAAAAACCCAGTTGTGACTCTCTTATTTGGAATTTTTCATTTAGGGTATGACGCTCGACTGTGTAGAAATATCATTATCAAGAGTTTTTGAATGCGGTCAGGCATATGTGGCATTATCCCGAGCCAAGAGTCTAGAAGGTCTGCGTGTGTTGGACTTCAGTAAAAATTGCATCAAAGCACATCCCGAAGTTCTAAATTACTACGTCCGGCTGAGACGGCGCGCAAAACTTGAGAGCAGTCAGTCAATGTAAATGTTGTGTATCATATATATATATAGTATAAATTAATTACCATTTCATTGTGTATATACACGGGCAATAGGACAGGTGTAGTGTTGTTAAATAAAAAGTTAGAAATGGTATTGTACTTACCCATGTATTATAATTATGTTTAGAAGATCAGAATATTCATAAATTTTTATTTTGTTTCATAAATAGTTCTTTAATATTCGAAACAAATTCCACATCTACTTTGTCTGCCGCCGCCATGTTTACTCGCCCCAATCTACATACTACACGGCATTGCCGCCCCTCCTGGCAAGATAATAAGCAAGCGAGAAAAATTAAGGAGAAATAAGAGGGTAGGAACATCGTTGTCATAAGCTGGATGCAGTGACACTTCCATATATGGCACAAACGTATCCATAACTTCCATATATGGCACAAACGTATCCACGACGCGTTTTATAACGTTTTATTTGACGTAGGGATGACGTGTAATGCTGCTTCCCGCCTATGACGATTTGAATTAGTCATGTGATACAAGATTGAGAAAGCTGATTCGCCCAGAGCGATGAAACGCCCACAAAACGCCCACAGTGTTCCTACCCTCTTATTTTCTCCTCAATTTTTCTCGCTTGCTTATTATTTTGCCAGGAGGGGCGGCAATGCCGTGCAGCATGTAGATTGGGACGAGTAAACATGGCGATGGCAGACGAAGCAGATATGGAATTTGTTTCGAATATTAAAGAACTATTTATGAAACAAAA